TTACCATCACTTCTGTCTACTATTCTTCCTTTTTTCTTCCCATTATCTTTGTCATGATTCATATTTGTCTTTCTTTTTTTCTTTCTTTCTTTCTTTCTTTTTCTTTTCTTTTCCGTTATCTTTTACCATCACTTCTGTCTGCTATTCTTCCTTTTTTCTTCCCATTATCTTTGTCATGACTCATATTTGTCTTTCTTTCTTTCTTTCTTTTTTTTCTTTCTTTTCTTTTTCCGTTATCTTTACCATCACTTCTGTCTACTATTCTTCCTTTTTTTCTTCCCATTATCTTTGTTATGATTCATATTTGTCTTTCTTTCTTTCTTTTCTTTTTTCTTTTTTTTTCTTTCTTTCTTTCTTTTCCGTTATCTTTACCATCACTTCTGTCTGCTATTCTTTTTTTTTCCTTCCCATTATCTTTGTTATGATTCATATTTGTCTTTCTTTCTTTCTTTCTTTTTTCTTTTTTCTTTCTTTCTTTTCGTTATCTTTACCATCACTTCTGTCTACTATTCTTCCTTTTTCCTTCCCATTATCTTTGTTATGATTCATATTTGTCTTTTCTTTCTTTCTTTCTTTTTTTTTTTTTTCTTTCTTTCTTTTCCGTTATCTTTACCATCACTTCTTCTACTATTCTTCCTTTTTTTTCTTCCCATTATCTTTGTCATGACTCATATTTGTCTTTCTTTCTTTCTTTCTTTCTTTCTTTCTTTCTTTCTTTCTTTTCCGTTATCTTTACCATCACTTCTGTCTACTATTCTTCCTTTTTTCCTTCCCATTATCTTTGTTATGATTCATATTTGTCTTTCTTTCTTTCTTTCTTTCTTTCTTTCTTTCTTTTCCGTTATCTTTACCATCACTTCTGTCTACTATTCTTCCTTTTTTCTTCCCATTATCTTTGTTATGATTCATATTTGTCTTTCTTTCTTTCTTTCTTTCTTTCTTTCTTTCTTTCTTTTCCGTTATCTTTACCATCACTTCTGTCTGCTATTCTTCCTTTTTTCTTCCCATTATCTTTGTCATGACTCATATTTGTCTTTCTTTTCTTCTTTTCTTTCTTTCTTTCTTTTCTTTTTCTTTTCTTTTTACCATCACTTTGTCTCCTATTCTTCCTTTTTTTTTTCTTCCCATTATTTTTTGTCATGACTCATATTTGTCTTTTCTTTCTTTCTTTTCTTTCTTTCTTTCTTTCTTTCTTTCTTTCTTTTCCGTTATCTTTACCATCACTTCTGTCTACTATTCTTCCTTTTTTCCTTCCCATTATCTTTGTTATGATTCATATTTGTCTTTCTTTCTTTCTTTCTTTCTTTCTTTCTTTTTCGTTATCTTTTACCATCACTTCTGTCTACTATTCTTTTTTTCCTTCCATTATCTTTGTTTGATTCATATTTTCTTTCTTTTTTCTTTCCCTTTCTTTTTTTCTTTTTTTTTTTCTTTTCCGTTATCTTTACCATTTCTCTTCTATTCTTTTTTTCTTTTTCTTTGTTATCTTGTTGTCTTTCTTTCTTTCTTTCTTTCTTTCTTTTTTTTTCTTCCTTTTATCTTTTCCGTTATCTTTACCATCATTTGTCTACTATTCTTCTTTTTTTTTCCTTCCCATTTTCTTTTCTTTCATATTTGTCTTTTTTTCTTTTTTTTCTTTCTTTTTTCCGTTATCTTTTACCATCACTTCTGTCTGCTATTCTTCCTTTTTTTCCTTCCCATTATTTTTTTGTCATGACTCATATTTGTGTTTCTTTTTTCTTTCTTTCTTTCTTTCTTTTTTCCGTTATCTTTACCATCACTTCTGTCTCCTATTCTTCCTTTTTTTCCTTCCCATTATCTTTGTCATGACTCATATTTGTCTTTTTTCTTTCTTCTTTTCTTTCTTTCTTTCTTTTTCTTTCTTTCTTTCTTTCTTTTCCGTTATCTTTTACCATCACTTCTGTCTGCTATTCTTCCTTTTTTTCCTTCCATTATTTTTGTCATGACTCATATTTGTCTTTCTTTTTTCTTTCTTTCTTTCTTTTTTTTCTTTCTTTCTTTCTTTTTTTCCGTTATCTTTACCATCACTTCTGTCTCCTATTCTTCCTTTTTTCCTTCCCATTATCTTTGTCATGACTCATATTTGTCTTTCTTTCTTTCTTCTTTCTTTCTTTCTTTCTTTCTTTCTTTCTTTCTTTTCCGTTATCTTTACCATCACTTCTGTCTGCTATTCTTCCTTTTTTCCTTCCCATTATTTTTGTCATGACTCATATTTGTCTTTCTTTCTTTCTTTCTTTCTTTCTTTCTTTTCCGTTATCTTTACCATCACTTCTGTCTCCTATTCTTCCTTTTTTCCTTCCCATTATCTTTGTCATGACTCATATTTGTCTTTCTTTCTTTCTTCTTTCTTTCTTTCTTTCTTTCTTTCTTTCTTTCTTTCTTTCTTTCTTTTCCGTTATCTTTACCATCACTTCTGTCTGCTATTCTTCCTTTTTTCCTTCCCATTATCTTTGTCTTTCTTTCTTTCTTTCTTTCTTTCTTTCTTTCTTTCTTTCTTTCTTTCTTTTTTATCACCATTCGTTTCATTCTTTACTCTTTTCTTTCTTTCTCTCTAACGCATTCCTCTTAATAATTTTCTTCATTCTTTCATCCGTTCTTTTCGATTCCTTATCTTTAAAAAAAAAATTTCTCTCCACTCTGCATCTCCTTTTCCCTTCTTATTACCTCCCTTCTATTTTCTAACCGTTTCCTTTTTATCTTCCTACCCCGGGTTACAGCATATCAAACAAGAACAAGCCTGCCCTGCTAAAAAAATATTCAGCTGATTTTATTTCTCTACGCCAGTGCAACCAATCAGAATAAATAAGCCTCGAGTTTACTGGAGTTAATGAGTTTTCTAGATAAATCCACCGAGCAATTACGAAAAACACCGATATAAGTTCGAATATAATAATAATAATAATAATAATAATAATAAAATATCGTAGAAATAAAAATAACAACATAAGATGAGTTCTCCTTCAGAATGTTTAGAAACCCCTCAGGTAAATGTTTTTATTTTTTTTCCCACGCTTTGTTGATGAGATGTAGCTTCAAGAATTTATTTTTTATTACGTATTTTTTTAGAGAATATCCTTTGCATTGCTTGATAGTAGTAATTTGTATATCGTGGCGTATTTGTGTTTTGTCAAAGTTACTATTAGCTCACAATAGAATGAATGATCTGTACAAAAAGTAAGTTTATTTTTTGAACTGACGATTTTTTATTATCTTGATTTACGTTTTTTGTTTTTTGTTTTTTTTTGTGGGGGTCTCGCCATTTTCATTGAATATAAAATTTATGACGCAAGCAATAATATGATGAAGGTGACGCTATCTTTGGATTTCGCATAACTGACTATTTTATTACGTTCTGCCTTGATATCTGGATTCATTCAGTGACTGCCTACCAAAGCTGTCATATAAGGAAACGAAATCTTTTTCCTTCTGCAATTTGATGACTTACTTTAAATATGAACTCAAAGTAAATACCAGATGTGATAGAAAAAATATTTTCAAAGATTTTAAATACAGGTGAGGAAAATGGCAGGCTAAGATATGTATCGTATGACACTAAAAGAAGCAAGGGACAGATTCTTGGTTAAATCTTGTCATTTTCAATGAAATTTTTAATTGGATATAACCGAAAATTTATGACACAAAGTATTAGAGTATTATATGATGCAGGTGACATTTTTGTCTAATTGTGACATTTTAATTATAGCTCTTTCTATATTCAAATTTTGCAGTGTTTGTCTACAGTGATTGCAACAGCGTTATGTATGATAAAAATATTGTTTTATGCTATACTGTATTTATGAGTAAAAGAACTCCATATCAGCGATAGAATGTATGTAAATATAAAAGTGGACTCTGAGGACAACATCGAACGGCCATAGTGTGTTTCATGCTTAAATGCAATCTTTAGGCTACGTTTGTTAAATTTTAGCTCGACAATTTATATATGCTTGTAAATAGTGCATTATGGGTAACAAGATCTTTTTGATTATCCTAACAGTTATTGGGTAGGCCTTGATAGTTATGTTTCAAATTATTATAGAGGCTATTGAGGTGGACTAATTGTGAATCTGACTGCGGTTATTCATAGGTGTTTTCTTATGTTGTTTGTAAACATTTTATTCAGTATTTATTATTGGTTACTAGATTATATGTTGATTATTATTATTATTATTATTATTATTATTATTATTATTATTTTATATTTACTGCTGTTTATGGTGTTCATAGTTTGTAAATTTTCTTACTGTGTACATAATATGTTTATTTATTTAGATTTAAGTTTATTTTAATTTTTTTTCTTGCGCAGGCTGGTAATCTTATATGTTCACTTTGAAGTATTGTTTTTTTTTCTAAAGTATCCTACATTATCCGCATTGAATATAATAAATATATTTTCATTTTCCGTGATTATATTTTACAAAGACTTTAGATTTTGTTTTTTAAACAACGGAGTAAAAATTTGTTTTTGTATCTGCATTTTAAGTTTAGTTCTGCTCGCTTATTTAGTAATTTATGTTGTTCTGGGGAGGTGATAATAGCTATTTTCTCGTCTAGATAGGGTGTACTGTTTTGGGATTTATTGTTGAAGACTGATGCTGTTTTTGTTTTCTTATTTTCCATGAAAGTTTTAGTGTAATTTGGTTTTTGGTTTTAATTTACCACATATGATTGTGCTGTTCACGTATTTACTATTTGTAAAGGATGTTTGGTGTGAGTATTTTCTCTATCTCCATGATCCTTCATTTACTCCTATGTATATTTTTCTTTGTCATCTGTTGATTTTACAGTGGCTTCGTATATTAAATTGCTTTGCAAGCAGTTGCCAGCGACATTCCTTCTTTGCACTGAAGTTACAGGTGAGTTGTTTTGTCTGGGTGGTACTTCGGGTATTTTTTTTTTGCTCTTTTATTCTTTATGCCATGTCCTCAGTCCAACAATAGCAGCTTTTTACTGTGTTTCTGTTGAATATCTTGTGAGTGTGCATCATTGGGTAAGTGCTTGTATATGAGGTTAATGAATATTTTTCCTATATCTGTACAGTGGATTAAATAATTCCTTCCCTCTTTTTCTTTCTCTCTCTCTTTCCACACACACACAGAGACAAACACACGCACACACATATATAACACTACAGAATCCCAAATTACTCCATATGGGGGGTATACCTCCCATATGATGTAATTTTGGATTTTGTTGTGTAATTTATATGATCTGTTATAATAAATATATTGATCTCTGTTTGTGGATCAGTTTTAATATTTGATACTGCTAGGATCCACTATTTACATTATTCGGACTATTTTCCTTATCTTTGTCGCCATATTTATTACAACGTTTCGGCCGTTGAAGGATCCGGTCTTCCTCAGGTGGTTGGAATGTCGAACTGAACCCTTTATTTCACTCACTGGTGTAGACTGTTCTAGTTACACGTGCCATGTTCAATGGATATCAGTTATCAGTTATCTCCTGTCAATTCCCCTCTCCTAGTTCTCCACTGCCTTAATCGGGTATTGAACTCACACT